ATCAATTGGTTTGGTGAAATTCAAGATTGTTAAAAAAGACTTTTCTCTTATGATTGATTAAGTAGATTGTAGGTTTGATTACTAAGAATAGTTGTTATTGTAGTGAAAAATGGGAGCATATATCATGCTCACCCTCTTTCGAGTGCATAAAGAAGTTAGTTCAACTCAGTAAGTGCATATGTCTGTCACTCTAGAAACCACTAAGTTAAACCCTTCAAAACTTATCTCTTAATTTTTTTGCATTGTCCTATGAACTACTTTTCCTTCACACACCGGTTCAATGTGATTCTTCCTAGTTGATAAAGCCATTGCCCTTCTGGGTTTTTATGAGCTCACAACAGGTTTTAACATATGAATTGATCTGATTGATAACTAAATTAAGCATGAAGTAAAAACTATCAAATTAAAATTAAAATATCAATTCTACACTAATCATCATCATACAAATTCTACCTAATTATCACAAGAGAAAAGTGCGAGAATTCTACTCACAAAGCATGTATAACACAATAGAAAACTTAGTTAAATCAAAGCAAAATCACTAAATATATGTGTTTACAACAGAGTCAAGTCAATAAAGAACGTAATATTTAGCTTTTTTCCTCTGAAAAAGAGATACAATCCCTCCAACGAAGCTTTCTATTGTTCCTTCCAATGCTGATACAATTCCATTACAGAATGCACTTAAATCCCCTCTCCAATCTCTCAAGAAAAAGTAAAAATCTACAATCCCTACTCCTATTTATGACCTCTTGGCATTCCTCGAGAATTCTATAACTTGGAAATGCCAAAAGGTCTCTTCTTCAAATGTCTCCATGCGTCAAATATCTCCCGAAGTAGTAAAAAAGTTCTAGCACCTAGGCGCATATTATGCAGTGCCTAGGCGTTGCCGTTTCAGTTTGCTGGGATTACCCCATTGCTCCATTTCAGCTCCAAACCGGTTTATGAGTTCTACCTATTATACCTGCAAGAAAAACATGAAAACACATTTTTTTAGAGTGAAATTTCATAAAAAATAATTGTTAAATATAAGAGATATTAAACATGCTAAAAGACATATCAATAGCACAATTTTGATACCTTACACTTAATATTAAGCCGAAATTTTGAAAAATAATGTTAAAAGAGTGTCGTTTTATAAATGATAAAATTAAAATGTTATCCATGTATTTGCTTCAAATAAATTAAGTAATAATTACATGTACATCATTCAAAACTTTGCTATTTATAAAACTAGCACCTCACTCATTTTTTGAACTATCATATTTATTCATTTACACCAATCACGATCAAGTTATTAAAAAAATTAATAAAAATGATAAATGAAGGTCATAAGTCTCTTCAGATGTCGGGTTCGAATCCCCTGCTGGTGCAGTGTTACCTTAAGGTAGGTGGTACCCCTATCTCTTTGAAGGTCATAAGTCCCTTCAGGTGTCAGGTTTGAATCCCCTGCTGGTGCAGTGTCTCCTTAAGGTGGGTGGTACTCAAATTTATTTGCACCCCATATCGGCTCCCAAATTTGACGGGAGTTAGCGCATTAAGGGTTGATCAACGGTTCCACCAGTTGATCAATCTTTTTATAAATATATGAAATAATTTTCTCTTATAAATTAATTTATTGTGAAAAAAAAGTATAGTTTGATTGTTATATGATGTTTTCTTGCTTATTTATTCACTTATTTCAAGAGAATGATGCCGTCCCTTACCTCATTAGTAATACATAAACAAAAAGGCGCCTCCTTAAATTTTATGATATAATTTTTAAAATGATGATTTACATAAACACCACTTAATTCTTATATATTTACATGCTTAACGTCTAAAGTTAAATTTTTACATATGTGGGACCATATATAGGCATGAAAAGATGTATTACATTTTTTAAAAGTTAAACTATTAGTATTTTGTTGTCTCATGAAAGATTTGGGTGGCATAAAAATAGGAAGTAAAATTTAAGTGGTATATATGTAAATACATATGAATTTTGTAGTTTTGTAAGTAAATGCTCCCCTCCCCTTATCCCACCGTTATTTTAATCTTTAATACATTATTATATGATGTTTAACATAATTTATTATTATTTTTAAATAAGAGGACTGAAAATTTTAAATTACCACATTTAGCTGTTGTTTTGGCTACAAGTCTTATAAAAATACCACTTAATTCGTATATATAACCATATATAACACTCATATTTATGACATATCATTTTAATTCTCTCATGATGCAGTCATGAATAGAGCTACTTGTGAAGATGATGACAAGATCAGGACGTACAAATTCTTAAAAATCCCATCTTTCTCCTCCTTTCGCTGCTCTCCTACCCAAAAACCATCAAGAAAGGTAGAGCTTGTATTCTTCCCCTTCCTCCTATACACCCTCACACACTTTAGCCTCAAGAAATCTTGGGAGCACGGACCTCACTGCCCCATTGTAGCTCCACATGCACGCACACATGCACACAAACAGGGGCATTTACATACATATCACACGATTCATTCTTATTTACGCATCTAACGCCTAGAGTTCCATATTTACTTGCATAACACTCAAATGAGTCAAATCTTTAATATTGCATAAAAAATATCACTCACATTATTCATGCACGGGTTTATGAAAAAAATGTTCTAAATATAAAAAAATTAGGTGCCAGATATGTAAATATATGAATTATGTGGAATCTATGTAAATTTATCTTTATATTTATAGGGTGATCAGATATATTGAGCATGTATGTGCACGAAGCAATAATTAAGTGATAGTGCAGGGAGCCAGATATGAGGTGTGGGATGCACGACTATGGTAAAGAGCGGCATGCTAGAGGTGGAGAGGCCTTTAGACGGGTATTCCAGGATTGTGTACAACAATAGATATTTATCAATGAGCTAAATGTCACCTCTCAAAAGAGTCCTTATGGGTGGTGGGCAGCCCAAGACTTAAATACTGTTTTTCAGCCCTACACCTAGCCAATGTGAGACTATTTATCCGTGACATTCTCCTCCACCCAATCACGTGACGCCCTCGTCACGGATCGGCTCCACTGAGGGTCCCACTGGACCATGGAGAGTCCACACACCTGGCAGACAGTAGTCTGCTCTGATACCTCTTGTCACCTCCAAAAAGAGCCCTTATGGGTGGTGGGCAGCCCAGGACTTAAATACTACTTTTCGGCCCTACACCTAGCCAATGTGGGACTATTTGGGACTAGCCAATGTGGGACTATTTGTCCGTGACATAAAGCTAGTAAAATAATTTTTGAATTATTAAATACTATAATTTTTTTTTTGTATTTCAGAGAGTAGGGCTGTAAACGATGCTCAGGTTTTGTTGATTCTATTCAAAATTAATTGGTGTTTAAAATTTCTCGTAAACATTATTTTTGTTCATGCTCGACTAGAAATTGACTCGTTTAAATTAATTATATATATATACATATATCATTAAAGCTCGTGTGGTCATATAATTTATGTTATGTTATTTATATGACCACACGAGCTTTAATGATATATATAAATGATATATATAAATATGCAATAAATAAGATAACATAAATTATATGACCACACGAGCTTTAATGATATATGTATATATATATAATTATATATGAGCATTAAATAGTTACCGTGTCTGCTCCTGTCATATGTGCCCGTGCATGGGCACATGCGCATCTCTACGTATGTACGTGTATTTATACCATTTATATTAGAACAGACAAAATAAAAAAAATAAAAGTATAAAATAAAAAATGATTTAAAATACATTATTTAATTTATTTTACTATTAAACATAAATATAAATAAAATGAAAGGAACTTGATTTATTTCGATTGAATTTAATATATTTTTTTTTAATTTTATCTATAAATAGTGAATTATTGAGGAAAAAGATTACATCAAGACTCCTGATGTAGAACTACGTTCGAATTGGAATATCCGGCTGTGTTACAAGAATACTCCATCTGCGATATTTGCAAAAATTATGTTTTATTCGAGTATTATATGATGTTATTCTGTTATTTTGAGGTGTTATTGGAATATTCTCCTCTGTTACTTGATTTGAGGCCGTGTTATTCGGCATATTCCCCTCGTTATTTCAATTTTGACTACGTTATTGGAATAACACAGCCCCAAATCAAATGATGCCGGGGAATATTTCAATAACACTTCAGCCCCCAAATCAAGTAATGCGATGAAATATTTCAATAACTCTGAAAAATAATCGAATAACACCATATAATACTCGAATAACACTTTATTTTTACAAATAACACACATGAAATATTCCCATAATATAGCCGAATATTTCAATCCAAATGTAGCTCTATGTTAGGAGTCCTGATGTAATATTTTTCCAATTATTAGATACTCTAGAACTAAACCTACAACGACACTCACATCTCTTGAGAAAAAAAATATTAGGTAAGAAATTTACATGTATGTGAACTTCGGTACAATATAATTGTATTGGTTGTATTCATAAATACAACTCATGAATAAAGTCACTGAAACCTGTATGCATTCGTCGTCCCACATCAGAAAAAATATTACATAAGGAGTTCAGAGGTGCGTCCATACTCCAATGTAATTTTTACACATGTAAAATGCACGACCCACTGAAAATAATAAATAAATAAATAAGGGTCATAAAAATATAAAAAGAATAACACAATGAAATAGTCATAAATATTATCACAATAAAAACACAATCAATAATATCATAATACAATCACAATTCTATTACAATAAAACCACAATATCACTCAAATACAACAACAATAACACCAATACAATCACAATACGCCTCCAATAACACCACAATATCATCACAATAACACCATAATACAACCACAATACAATTATAATACCACCACAATACCCCCACAATACCACCGCAATAACACAATAATAAAAACACAATATGAACACCTTTTTCGTTTTTCTTTTATTATTTTCAGCGGGCCCCACATCGAGCCTCCCTAACATCTCCTTTAACCTCGACTTCAGCCGGCTCATTGACCAAGCCCGTCATGATCAGACGTCGAGTTCGTCCCTGCAAACGCCTCTAGAATCCATATTATTTATCTCCTCTAACCTCAAGCTAATCATCATTCACTGATTAGCTTTCGAACCTAATCAGCATATCAGAATCTCATCCCTTGCGCCGGTCACCGGCGAAGAAATCGTCGGATGCTGAAAATGTCGTGAAAGGTGTTTGTCGAAATGCACCAAAGAAGACAAAACTCCGTGTTCTCTTCCTCTGTTGCTATTTTCTCTACCAGTCTGGGTTTGATGTGAAGCCAAAGTGGGAAGAAAGAGCTCTGAAGAAACGAAGGGTGCTTTTCATCAGTAATCCATTCGGTGTTGTTGACGGCAGCAATTGGGCGCAGCTTCATTCTCCGTTCGTTTTACCTGCTTTGCGGTCGGAGAAATGGCGCCGAATCAAAAATCAAAGAGGCTTTATCAAGTTTGGAAGGGAAATAATGTTAGAACGATTTCCCTCATCTTCGTAATATATTGCTACTCTTTTGATTGCATTTGGTTGCCATTTGCTCAGTTTCCTTTGTCTTAATTTTGATTCCAATCTGATCGGATTTGATTTTCTTTGTTTCTCTAATTGGTGTTTTTTCTAACTTGAAATCCTTTGCAGTAAATGATTTTAGTGGTCTGGATCACATCAGAATGCATTAATTTGTTTAATTTTAAAGTTTGACTAGTTTTTTGTGCTAATTGAGTCTCCCAATGATGTTATGAAGACTTATTCATCAAACAAACAAAAATTTTGAGGTTCCAATTAACTGATTTCAGCTTTGATTTCTCAATCGCTAATTCTGTGAACAATCATATTGAAGAATGAAAAACTTAAAATCTTTTCTCTTCCATTTACTCTTAATCAACAACACATTTAGATCAACTCTCCTCCTTCCATTCTCTTCTCCACAGCTCAGTAGCTTCACATCTTCAAAAAAATCTTAATTTCATAGATGAAATATAGTTTAGCCATGGGTTGAAGGTCTTCTTTCTGCTTAAATATAGTTAAACAGCTTGTTTTTTCAATAAAGCCTATTTAATCTTCATTAATCGTATAGAAAATGGTTTAAAAAATATTACTGTAATGTAACTGGAAACCCCAATGAATTTCATGCAAATTTAAGACATTCTGGACTGCTTTTTTGCAGAGGTTCTTTTGTGGAGGAAGATGCATCTTTGGTCCAGATGTGGCTTCTTTATTTCTATCCATGTTTTTGATTGCTGCTCCTATTATAACATTTTGTTATCAAATAACTTCAAAGATTCGGAACCGCGAGAGGCTCCATGAAGATCTGATTGGTGATACTCACCAAGTGCTTGGGCTTCCAGTTCTAATTGTGACCTTAATCCTCGTGATTGCAGTGAGTGATGGTTTAGTTTCCTTTTCTCATAACGGATCATAACACTTTTTTATAGGAAAATTTACATATATAGCACACAATTGTAATGTATTTACATATCTCACACCTAAATTTTCATATTTACATACATCATGAAAGGGTGTATTTCACCTTTAAAAAGTGGTAATAGTGCTATTTTCGATGTGATATTAATGGTTTCAGTGTTATGTCTGTAAATATGAAAGCTTAGGTGTGGGCTTTGCAATTTCATAAGAAGAATTGTTTGCTTTGCATGTAAATGCCCCCCCTTTTTTAATGAAATGAAATTCTTTGTCACAATAAAATGAAATATTATTTTGGTTTATGATGCAGGATTTAACTTTCCTACTCCTGACCTCAAGTAGAGATCCGGGAATTGTACCAAGAAATGCTAATTCAATGGACTCATCCGAAGCATCAGACTTCAACACTCCTTCCATGGAATGGATCAACGGAAGAGCGTCACAAATGAGAATTGCTCGGACGAAAGATGTTATTGTAAATGGTTTTGCTATAAAAGTAAAATATTGTGACACTTGTTTGTTGTATCGCTCGCCCCGCACTTCTCATTGTTCGATATGCAACAACTGCGTTCAAAAGTTTGATCATCACTGCCCATGGGTTGGTCAGTGCATTGGACTGGTAAGTTCCCAAGTTCATCCTGGTTAATTATCAATAGCACAAAATTCTTATGTATTTACATATCTCACCCCAGAACTTTCATATTTACACACATAGTGCTCAAATCATTAATATCACCAAAAAAATGGCACTATTATAACTTTTTAAAAGTGACACACTTTTTAATGCATAGGTTTAATGCACCAATGTGTTATTTATATAAATATGATAGTTTAGGTGTGTGAGATATCTAAATACGTAAAAAATTGTATGCTACATATGTAAATTTCTATATTCTTCAATTTAACTAGTGTCTATTGTTTGCAGAGAAATTATCGATTCTTCTTCTTATTTATATGCACTTCAACATTCTTGTGCATATATGTTTTCACTCTATCTTTGATGAATATGCTTCAAGTGAGGAAGAATTATCACTCTTTTATAAAGCTGGTTGTGGGGGAGATAATTTCAGCTATATTAATGGTGTACTGTTTTTTGTCTGTCTGGTTTGTTGGTGGGTTGTCTGTCTTCCATCTATATCTGATCTGCACAAATCAGGTAATTACATGAAATTTTCTTTAAATGTGCAATGAAATAAAGTCATTTAACAGCCCATTTGATTGCTCAAAGTTAGAAAACATGTTTTCTAACACGGCAAATTTATTAGATACTTTCTTTTGGTTAGATTTAGTTAGAAATCAATTTAGATTTGTAACTCTGCAAACAAATTTAAAAGGGAATTTTACATACATACCGCGCAATTCTAATGTATTTACATATCTAACACCCGAAGTTTGATATTTACATTTATAATACTTTGGTGTCATAAACATTTGTATGAAAAGCTGTGTTTTGCTTTTAAAAATTTAGTAAAAGTGGTTTTATTGATGTGATATTAAAGATCTGCGTGTTATGTATGTAAATATAAATGTTTACGTGTTTGATATGTAAATACATAAGATTTGTGTGATATATATGTAAATGCCCCAATTTAGAAATAATCATAGATGTTGATACGCAAAATAAGCAAACAAAACCATCATTTTCTCTTTTTGTCAATATGTCATTCAACTTTACCTAATGATTATGTTTGTATTGATGAGTTTTTTATATTTGTAGACGACATATGAGAATTTTCGATACAACTATGACAATAAGGACAACCCATTCCACAATGGTATATTCAAAAACATCAAGGAGGTGTTCTTAAATATTCCGCCTTCGATGAACAAATTTCGAGCGAGGGTTCTCGATCAAGTCATCGAAAGTAGATCGTTTCCTCGAAATATGGGAATGGATACGGTAAGCTCTATGGAGAAGTTTGATATCGAATCAACCAGTGCACTCGAAGGAGGAATCAACTTAAGGATTCCTAGTGTGAGATGCAACAATGAAAATGAAGGAGCCATTATTAAACATAAAGGTGAGGCCTTGGATTCGACGGATTTAGCCAAGCTTCGAGACCATGATCGTCAAGAATCAATGGAATATAAAGAGGATTACAAAGGAGAGACTGAGACTGCAGTTGAATCTGTAATAGGCAGTGTGCCTGATGAAGATTTACATCAGCACCCCCACATGAGGTAACCCAAGTTATAAGTGAAAATTTATAAATATCAGTATTTTTTAAAAATTCATTTTGTGCTATATTCACTAATGATTTGATCAAGGAGGTAGTAGCAATGCAGCTTAATAAAAAGTTTAATATATATATATATATATATATATATGAATATAAATGAAGAAGAAAATGTTGGCCTATAACTTTGGTTGCTAGAGTTGGCATTTTAACGAGGGTTTGTTTGAGATCATTATTATTTTTAAAAACATATTTGTTTATTTTATTTTTTATGTTTATAAAAATAAATTAACTTATTTTTTAAAACATTCAAAATAAGTTTTAGTTATTTAGGAGTTTTTAAAAGTAATCATATTTTATTTTAACATATCAAATATATTTATTTAAAATCTAAATAAAATAAATAAAATAAAAGTAATCTTTAACATCACATCAAAAGAATCATTAATGCTAATTTCTTCAAGTAAATAGTATATTTCCATGCACAGATTTTAATGTGATTGTAGCACTAAAGTATCATACATGTAAAAATTAAACCTTTGGCATTAGACACATAAATACATAAGAAATGAATGGTATATATGCAAATTAATATATATAGATATATATATAGATATATAAACAGTTTTGCACTATCTGCTGCTTCTGAATCATTTGCTCCATTTCCTCCAGCAGATGAGACGGATTACTTCCAAGCTATTGGTTCAGAACTGTGAATTATGATGCAATATCCGAACTGATTGCATTCATTCTTCTGTTCAATTCCTCAATATTTTGATGCTCGGAGCTAATTTTTTCTTAATAGATATTAATCGCATTTAGTGTTTGGATTATGGTAATAATTAAGTAGATTTAGATCAATTAATATGGAGATAAATAGTCACACATGAAATTGCGATTTCTTTTTTCTTTTTGGTGTATATAAATGTAAACAATGTTTGATAGTTTAATGATATTATTTCACATTGCAAATTGCAACTTTGCTGTGCAATTAATATAATATCTCTTAATTATATAGAAAGCCTAAAATAAACTTCATTCCAGCGCAAATATCCTAAAGGCATTTACATACGAAAAATTATTACGTTCGGACTCCGGACGTAGAGATACATCCGGAGTTCAATGAATTACCTCTATGTGGAGCTGACAGGAAAAAAAAATAAAACTCGTTTTCTTGTGATCCGGCCTGATAAGACAGAGAAATATTCTTCCCGTATTATTCTACATTATTAAAGTGTTATTGTGGTGGTATTGATGTGTTATTGCGTTGTTATAACACCAGGAATATTTCCAGAAATCAATAATCCATGAATATCATCACAATAAAACATGAATAACACAGAATAACACCGGGGAATATTCCCTTTGCTAAAGCGATTTTTTTTATTATTTTTTTGTCACATTCACGTGGCGTGATTTTATTGGACTCCGGACGTAATATTTGTTCTTTACATACATACCATACCATCAGTCCTATGTAGTTACATATATAACTCCCAATATTTATTTTTTACATTTATGCCTTCTAAAATTTTCGGGTCATTACAAAGAGGACCACTATTTCATGTATAGTTGAGATTGCACAAATGTAAATATTGAAGTTTGGGTGTTAGAAATGTAAATATATAAGAATTGAGTGGGATGTTTGTTATTCCTTCTATTTTTAATTATATTTTCGCTTTAATTTTTAAAAATATTTTTAAAATTTAGATTGACTTATAGGAGAGTTTGATACAATTCACTTATTAATACAATAAAAATATAATTAATAATAAAATTAAAAATATTATTGATATAATAATATGTTACTATTAAATATATGATTAAATAAATTATAATTAACTTATATATATA